ACAGTTTGGGATGGAAACTTCGATAGGAAATGATTACCAAAACAAAGGGTGTGTTAATTATGTTAATGCCTAATTGATATGAATGAAAATATATATTAATCTGTTCCGCATAGTTATATTATGCAAATTCGGTGACACAATGTTTCTGAGATTCAAAGTCAACTAGTGTCATAGACTTAGTCGAACTTAAGTCTGATATCTCCTAGCAGGGATGAATGCACTCAATTGTATAACCTAGTTATGTTCCCGAAATCCAAGCGACATTACGAGGAAAGTTTTAACACTTTGAGGTCTTCAATATCGAAAATCAAAACAAGTGGTGATTCAGCGAAGAGACTCTTTCCAACAACGAATTTATCATCAAGCTGTACAGTCGTTTATATATGGTTGTTTTTATGAAGTTATATCCGATGAGGGAATTGAATCACAGGTGTGTGTGAATGCATAAAATAATAATAATAATAATAATCATATGAAATGGAATTAAAACTAAAATGTTTGTGATTATACTCATAGTCAAATGTCAAGTGGCAAAGCAAATTAATGTCATATATAGAATAATTCATAGGATGGATAGAACTTCAAACAGAGTGTGCAATTATAGGATTAGTAGACAAATCGAATAAAACAAAAGACGTTACGTAATATTGTGTGAAATTTAATAGCATAGAATTTATCGTTATAAGGAGAAGAAGAATTGATTTAGAATGACAAGTGGAACAAGTGAAATAATACTGGGGGCGGTTCAAAGTGAAGATTATATCGATAAAATATCATGTCTTCTCTCAGGTAGCAGTAAATTCTCGAAACCGAACGAGAAAAACAAGACAAAATAATTGAGAAACAACATACCGAAACTTTAAAGAGAATGAAGAACAACCATCTCATTTGTGAAGAATTATACGAAAAGATCAGATCAACAGGATCTCTAATACCAAGACTTTATGGTCTACCGAAAATGCACAAAGCTGGCCTTCCACTTCATCCTATCTTGGATATGTCTGGATCGTTCTATCTCCAGTAGCTTGGCGGTTAGCTGAAATCCTCGAACCCGTCATGGGGCAATTATCTAATCATTTCCTTTCGGGATACCTTCCAATTTGTTGAATGTATACAGGATATAAATGCGTCGAATAAACATATGTTGTCTTTGGATGTAAAATCCCTATTTACGAACGTTCCACTGATAGAGACCATGTTTTATGTGCAAATATATTGGAGACGACAAATTGAATATAGGCAACCCACTACAGATCTTAAAGAACTACTTTTGAGATGTATTTTGAATGTACAGTTTACTTTCACTGAAACAGTCTACAGACAGAAGGATGGTATTGCGACGGGTTCTCCCTTGGGTCCTCTCTTTGCAGACTGTTTTATGTCCAGTGTAGAAAATGGTCAACTGAAGCCCATAATCCAAAGCTTTCAAATGTATAAAAGGTATGTAGATAACACCTTTATTATTTGTAATGATGATTGTAACTTGAATAATGTATTAAGTGTATTTAATGGTTGCCATCCTGTGATAAAATTCACACTCGAAATGTAGAACGAGTCTAGCATTCATTTCCTCGATGTGAACTTACCAAGGAGGACCGATGGAACTCTGAAGAGGTCGATTTATCGAAAGCTGTCATGGAATGGTCATCTGACGAACTTCTACAGCTGGGTACCCATTGGTCAAAAACGAAACCTGGTCCAGTCGCTTGCCACTTGCATTCGCCGCATGTAGCCCTGATAGTGCGGAAGATGAGATATACATTTTGAGGAAAATCCGAATAGAAAATGGATTTCCAAGACTTTTTATAAATAAGAATATACATTCAAAGCCCACAAAACGTCACTTATCAACTGTACTCAAGAAAATAATTTACATAAGCTTGGAATTCAAATGGGACTTAGCTTCCGATATCATGCAACGAAGTATAACACAGTTCCTGAAAAGAACATTCCCTGCTGCATATCTGAGAATAGCCTTTACCAGTAGACCATTACTGTTCCATTACCTGAAAGACAAGATCCCGCTGTTTACCAACTCTGTGTGTGTTTATCAATTCACCTGCTCGTGAGGAGCTAGGTATATCGGTCGTTCGACTCGAGTTTTGTCCAAGAGGGTGCAAGAACACTATCCTGCATGGTTACGAAAAGGTGGAAGTGGAGCAATAAGAAGCGCGATCATTGAACATCTGGTCGATAATGATCACCCTATCTCTATAGCCTCCACCTTTAAAGTCATCTACAAGGCAAAGAGTAATTTACCCAAATCCTACGTACCCGACTCATCTGTATTGCTGAAGCCAGCTTTGGCTATTGAAACAGAAAAGCTAGATCTCTGTGTACACAGAAAAATTTCGTTCAACCCCTCCAACTTTCATGGTCTTAATCCCTCTATGCTAAATTATAGTAATCCCAAATCACATATTAGCTCTACCAATTTTTTATTTTTTCATTTTGTCTATTCATTTTGTATACTCTTCCTTATTACGTCAATTGTTATATTACTATTCTCACCTTGAACTGTCCCCGGCATTATTTCACTTGTTCCACTTGTCATTCTAAATCAATTCTTCTTCTCCTTACAAAGATAAATTCTATGCTATTAAATTTCACACAATATTACGTAACGTCTTTTGTTTTATTCGATTTGTCTACTAATCCTATAATTGCACACTCTGTTTGAAGTTCTATCCATCCTATGAATTATTCTATATATGACATTAATTTGCTTTGCCACTTGACATTTGACTATGAGTATAATCACAAACATTTTAGTTTTAATTCCATTTCATATGATTATTATTATTATTATTATTTTATGCATTCACACACACCTGTGATTCAATTCCCTCATCGGATATAACTTCATAAAAACAACCATATATAAACGACTGTACAGCTTGATGATAAATTCGTTGTTGAAAAGAGTCTCTTCGCTGAATCACCACTTGTTTTGATTTTCTTTATGTTCCAATGGGTATTTCTCATGAGTCTTCAATATCCTTGGTGGTTGAAACCAGATGTCTGTTATTTGTAAGACATTCAGCTGTCAGCAATAAAAGCTTTCATCACTCAACGTTTGTTCATTAACCAGTCAACTTTGTTTTCTACGTGCAGAATGAATTAAATATTCCCGAACACCACCGCAAAGGCTTCAACCCATTGGTTTGTAATGCCTATATATACCTCCACTCAATAAAGTACTGTGTATTAATTATTTCTTGTTTTCATTCCCTTAAGCACCAATCTAATGCCCTATTTTTCCTTACTAAATTGGTTTCATTGTCATATATTATTTCTTTTCAATAAGCTCTCCTACCAACAGACCTATTAGCGCCATTACAAACGAATCTGCAAACAGCTCGTGGACGATATTTGCATGAAAACTTGTGGTTGAAGAGATTTCGAGCGTTTATAAGTCACGCGATATGATGTTACGTCAACTGGCTCTTGTACTACAATCGATGGTCGATTTCCATATGCCGATCTGTATGCAGTTCCACGATGAAATTATCACTTTCTCATCCACATGTGTTAAATAGACTGATCCATCCTCATTGATATGCGAATACTGCTGGAAAGACAATACAACTGAAACAGACTATCAAGTTTCCATGGTCGATCGACGGTGTAGTTTACATGCCTTTCTACTGTGACCACTAAGCAGCAGCAGCAATATTTCCAATCTGTTAATTTCAAGGAGATTTCAAATGTGTTCTTTGACCACACACCCTCCAGATTATAACCGCCTCTTAGTAAATCGTCATCACTGAAATCCTTGAGATGTGATGGAATCTATGGATTCAATGAGATTAGTTTGAATTGCGCATTCCATGTAAAAGATAACAGACCTGTGAGTGAAATGATCAATACACCAGACTGAGTGAATTAAACAGACCTTATTGAAATGTTGTTCCATCTCGCCTATATGACAGTTAGTGAGTCCGACAATCGCTCTCTTACAATACATCGAGAACAGTTTGTTCACAGTTGCATTTATTTATTGGTTGTACGACTCTTTATTTAATTTGAAAGATGAAATAATACCAGGATTCAATTCATATTTAACTGTGCGCCATTATATTTTGTCAATTCATCAGCATATACTGCAACGATGGCCGGAAACGGCCCTCCACAGAGAAGTGTCTAGCTATTCACGGATATGCTTTGCTGTCACGTCAGTGATCTGTGATCACACACTCATATTTCTAGCCCACTTTGTCACTCAGATCAAATGAATGTACTGGAAGTCGTATAGTGATAATTCACTCTGATTACCATCACAATGAGTTTAATTACAGTTTAAGCTAATACTATTATTTCAGGTATTCACACCTGAATTTTAATTTTACTCACAGGACATAGTTTACTCATTACTATCCATATATATGTATGATTTTGCAGCCTAATTATCAAATTCTTGAAGGCAGTCACTTCACTGATTCACCCCGTTTTGATTTTCTGACTATCCAAATTGGAATTTCCGAACAGGATGTTTATTTCAAAATGCAGAAAACTTCTGATGTTGAAATTACTACACAGGAATCCTGCAATTAGTCTGTTATGCCTTGAAATTACAGAAATCTCGAAATTAGTGAATACGTAACTGGCGTAACAATTCGACCTACGAACATGCTACTTCAATGCTATGACTACAATGAACAACGCCAAATAGTCGGATTCCTAGTGTTGAGTCGTTGATATCAAGATGTGTGGCAGCTTATTCAGTCAAATCATGTACAAATGAATTAAGCTCTGATTCCTGCATACATTATATTCACTGAGGTGGCCAATAAGCAGTACTGACGCCCCTGATACGACAAAATCAAATTGCCTAATCTCTGTGATACTTATAACGAATAGACATCTTCCAAACTGATGAAGTGAAACGCTCAAGTATTTACACCATCATGTCAAGTGTGAACTGGTTAACATCGACATGCAGGCTAATGACTCAGACTGAAAACACCGAATTCATCTGATCAGTTGGAATAAGTTGAATATTTAAATGATAAAATTGTATTTAGAAGACGCACAGTTAGCGTTATTATGAAAATGAGTTATTTAGTTAAAAGTGTTCATGAAATCCACTGCACACCAATACATTTCAATAATGTGCAGAATAAACGTTTCCCATGGCATCAGGAGTAATAGATTCATATTCTTCTCTAGTTTCTTCCTTCCGCTTCTGCAGAGAAAATGAAAGGTGGTGAGCATCATAGGAAAGCAAACAACGCTGAAGATTGTGAGCATTGGAAGAGACACGAAGGGATTGACCAGTTCTGAATATCGGTGTGTACCATTAGACTTGAAGAACACAAAACAGCTATTGTGAGCATCATTTCACACCCAGAATGAGAGAGAGAGATTCAGTGACTCCAGTCATCCTGAACCACTCATTATATTTCAGATATCTTGAATGCATTTATTCACACTTATGCGTGCATGTGAAGGTGTGGGTGCTGGTGTGATTTTGAGTGAGGGTAAATTAGGGAAGTGTGACATGACTCAAATCGACTGAACTACAACTGGTGTTCAACTTGGAATAAGTTGTCGATTGCGTTTTGTTCAGTGCCGAATCTGCCTGATCCTCTTCAAAATACTACATATGATTTCATATGACATGATGTGATATGGCATTATTGAATTGGTGGTCCACCGAATGTTACAAGTCTCGTCCCTGGTGTTCAAAATGCAAATTATATTGTATTCACACTGATCGAATTTAAATTTCAGATATGCATCTATCTATATAAAGACTGGATGACAGTTTCTCTCATCAGGCGATTTTGGAAGATAAAATGTAGGCAGTTGGTGTGAGATAGTAGGTGAATCTTACCTTTCAGGTTCTCGATGGCGGTTTCATGAATCTCCATGAACACTTGAAAAGAAAAACGCAGTAAATAGCTGACTTGTTAGTTGAATAAAAACCAGTCTTTTTCATCAGTGTTTAAATGTCTTGATTAGTCTGCCTGACGTTTATAAACACATACGTGAACACATCGGCCAGTTTCTCGTCACCTAAACTTCTTTCATCATCACTGTCTCCTAAATATTCACTATGGTCACGCAAACACCCGTCCTGATCTAGTTCCCTCTTTGCATTTCCACGCTGCGTAACAGAGTATGTGCATAAAGTCAGCCTGTGTGAGAATAAACTGTCACCTTTGGACATTTCGCGATTCCGATCAGAAAATTGATCTGATAGTGGACATTTCAGATTATTGTAGATTCATGTGATCGGTTCACATTCTTCGGTGAATCGACCTATGCACAACCGAACAGTGCGTATTGACTACTTATTGATGAACAGTTCTCCGGAAACCTCGACATTCCAGGATAAATATATTACTGATTTCAATTGTTAATAAGCAATAATGATCAAGTGAACAATAATCCTGTAATCCCGAAAAGCTATTTGCATCATACGATCCCTGATCACACGGAATATAAAGTAGTGGTTTGTATTTGTTTTTGTGAATGAATGTTGACGCATATATGGAGTGTGTATAACCCATGAACAAAAGAGATTCAACTTACAAATGGTTTTACCATACCGCATTCTGTGTTGATATGAATCTCCTATGTTCTTCTTCAATTCCTGAAGATCTAAAATTTGTAGGATGATGCCTGCATTTTACATTTGGATGTCAGAGAATCAGATAGTGAAAAGTGGTCATGTAGAATACTGTGAAATAATTGGTAGTTTGGTACAATGTGTAGTTGTATAAGCAGACGACTAACTCATCTACAAGTTCATTCACTTGAAGGCCGATCATGGAGCGTCTTTGAAGACAGTCAAAGCACTCTCGAGAAACCCCTACAGCTGCTTATTATTTCTAGTCATGTGCTGAATTCACAGAACCTCGACTTCATCATTATTGGGGGACCATATTATATGTCAGTGAACAGGAGTGTGTAAATTACATTTACTGCAGTCTCAACTACATTGGATAGATTCGTGGACTTCAGACTTCAAGTCATTGCCCTTCACAAACGTAATGTACGATAGGGACTTTGAAAGTAAGGTAATCGGATTCTACACTTGATATTCCATCCTGCACGTTGGTGGCTCAACTTCCAATTCACTGACACAACTATCAGATCGAAAAGTGAGTGAATCCTGTGAAACAAACTCCTTTGAGAATACATTTGACTTTCGAAAATTAACCTGAAATATATATTTTCAACATCTTCCAGAGCATTAATCTCCATTTACTCTCTTTACTTCCAGCAGAAGTTGTCAATAATGGGTTACCTTGTTCTTTTCCTGACGGTCTATAATCGTCACAGTTAATTCCTTCTATTGATTGCAACTTAGCTGATGAAGAAACAGAGAGACAAGGAGGTTAAAACAACGAGGAGGCGAACATTCATTGAACTTATCATTATAGTATCAAATACTCATGCAACTACAGACCTATCGAATAGAAAAACTTCACACAAATCAATATGAAATGAGTCATCTTGAGTAAGATATCTCCACTCCTACCCGTCTGGTTTGTATCTGAAATTATCGAGAGAGTTTAAAACTGACAATGACACCGACATAACAATTAAGATTAGGTAGGAATTTTTATTGGATAAGTAAGTGGGAAAGAAGAATGCAAAGCTGAACTGTTTACCTGAGTATGCATCAGCCTCTTCCTGGAGACATTGTTGAAGAGAATGCTCCTCTGAGTAGAGATCTGTATAAGAATGTATTTCAAACAATATATCAACTCATGCTCATTATCTTTTATAATTAGTGTCAGATAAATGTGTGAATTCAACTGCTGAATGGTTGGTGATTCAGAGGCTTCTATCGGATATACTGTGAAATGGCTATATGGATATAGGTAATTGTCTTCGATATCTCTGGTCTCAGATTCTGCAGTAGCACACACACACCGGTGAATGTTTTCCATAAGACGACGGCCAGTGAAATACATGGTGGAATTTTGATGATCATCGTGTGCGTCGTGGCACAGTGGTTAGAACTCTCGCTGACTGTGCACATAGTCCGAGGTTCGATTCCCTGCCGATATCACATGCTGAAAATTCCATACTTGTACCAAAAATACGGTGTGGAATCAAGATGTAATAAAAAAAGGAATGACTATCAGTGTTAAGTAATAATTCTGATAAACTTTTGGATTAATAGTTTAGGAAATATTTTGGATCGATTGATCTCGAAGAGTATGGAAAGATGGTGTGATGGATGATAAACAAAAGGGTGAGCATTATTCAAGTCGACTATGAATTGACTACATGATGCCGAAGGATAACTTCAAAGCTTGAATGCAGTAGTTTCTTATCACATGACTTGTGTTAAGGTGTGTTGATTACGTCAGGTGTATATATGCCAATGAGTAACACTAATAACACATTTTGAGTAGGTGATTCCTTATCGAAATCCATTCGGTTTTGTCTGTCGAACAGATTCAAGGAGAAAATATTTAACCTCCTAAACCTTTGACAAATCTCAAATTATATTTAAGTGTTGTTTTGTAGGGATTTGATTGGTTTCAGGATTTCATCATGAGCTGACATTAGTTAGAGAACCATTGGAAAACCTGCAGGCAGTACTGGGCAGCTGTTTCGTCCTAGTTTGGGACTCTTCAGCAGTATGCACCCACCCCCAAGGTTCCAACCCAGGACCTTCCGGTTACAAGGCGAGCTAGCTCGTATACCATAAGCCACTGGGATCCGATCCAATGGTCCTTGAATTCTAACTTCTACCAATTCACGACATAGCGCGACCGCTAGCCAATGTTTTCGGCGAGTATTTGTCCTCACATCCGACCCGCTGCACCCTACTGGTCACGACTTCCCACTGGAACTTAGGTAACTACCTACCGGAATAAGGCCAGTCGCCAGTGAGCATCTCATTGTATTTAAGTGTTGGTTTGTAGGGATTTGACTGGTTTCAGGATTTCATCATGAGCTGACATTGGTTAGAGAACCATTGGAAATCCTGGGAGTACTGGTTGCAAACAAAGTGATCACAACCTACACACGAAATCAGTTGAAATAAATTCAATTTACCATATTCTTCAGATTGTCGTTGAAGTCGATTTACGGCATCTGAAAAGACATAAAATGATAACTGACATTAAGAGTTTCTGCAAAAGAATAATTGCTAATGCAGCATTCATCACTTAAATTTTCGTGGAATTACTGTACAACTGCCTAACGCTATGGTATGCTCAAGAAAAATTCACTAATCGCTTCTACTGATTACCAAAGTGGGCGATTACACTGACCAGCTCACAACAACCAATTCTCAGGAAATTTATTATTCCTAATTACTTCTTAAAATTCAAATAATTCTATTCAAATGTTCATCTCAATTTGTGCTGTTTCTACTCGTCTTCAGAATGATTATCTCCATCGATTTAGTTAATCCTTCATTCCATTTGAATGGCTAGTTAACGTGATTTGACTGTGACTCTAAATCGGTGCCTGAGCGGTTTTACCTGATGCATTACGTAAGTGAGTGTAATGCATTGCATGGTTTCACATTCGATGGGGCAGGATAAGTACGTTTGTTCGGATTGTAGATTGAATGATGTCGAGAATATCTGAAGGAAAGTAGAAGTTAAATTCCCTGAACATGTATCCCCCACCTCAACAACTTCAATCCATCACATTCCTCTCAACACTGAATCAGTGAGTAATCTCATTTGATAATTTTTTCAAGCATCAAATTTTGGTTGCATCGTTGTCAGATCTCACTGGATGGTTCTGGCTACAGATCCGTCGTTTCTGGCAAAAATGTTGAATACTTTATACAACAACAGTAACCCAAACTCATGTGATAATCATGTGAATAAAAGTAGTATATATATATATATGGTCGGAATTAATCCTGGAACACACCGTCGAATAAATGTATTCCATAGAAGATTTCATAAATCTCTTTCCAACAGTTGACATCTGAAAGAGTTGGTTGGTCATTGAAATTCAAAATATCTTCACTCACAGTTCTCAACGGTGTTGTTGCCAGTTTCTACAGCCTCATTAATAATCTTATCTAGTAACAGAGAGAAGTGAGAAGATCAACTGCATGAAACCGGACACCTGTGTAAAATTCAACATTCACTATGTATAAAACATTTAGTAAATTGACCATTATTGAAGCATGCCTACACCGTTTTGTATATTCATTCTACACAACAGAGTGAATTTCATGAACGTGAAAGTGTGAAGTGTTTTCGATTACAGCGAATATGAATAAATATGAAGTGAATTAAAAAATCAGGTCGACGCGTGTTGATCAGGATGAGTCCATCACTTTTTTTCACTTGACATTGAGATATGATATCCTTACTTGAATAAGTCTCATGTCAAGAAATGACTCCATATACATACTGTCAATATTGTAAGGTAAAACACTTACACGAAACAGCCTATAGGGAAAATCTCCATAAAATTATAACAAACATCTCATGTGAACACGAGATGCAGACAGAAATCGAGTTGATCAAGTGATCAATAAACGATCACACGAAATAATTATTCACCTTGAAGTTTTTTAATCTCTGCTTCACTATCAATAATCGACTGGGCTAATCCGGGTAATTCACCTATGTGAAGTAGAAATCGAGAATTATTTTGAATGAATTAGAAGAGACGGATGTTTGGACGCAACAACAGAATGTCACGAAGCATGGAGGAGCAGTTTCCACACAAAAGCGTGTGTAGCATGCATAACACAAGAACAGTTATACATATCCATATGAAGTCAGTCATCTTACCTTCAGACTTTGCGAGCAGCTTTTCAATGTCTTCTAATTTAGTCGATTCGCCTTTAAAAATTGACCAAGTGAAGAGTACAGTGATTATTATACAAACCGAAACTTAAATAACACGTAAATACGTTGAAAGAATTTGTTCATTTCAAGCATTGGAGTAGATTTGACAGCTATCTCATTCTGGGTAACTCCGATGCGTTCAGTGTAAACTGGACAGATCCATCCTATGTAGGATGCATTAGGCAGTTTGAAAGCAAATTACTCCTGATTGTCGTCAAAAACACTGTATTTCTACCCAAGGCTTTTCTTTATTGAGCCTGTTACCAACTCATGATACAGACGAGATGAACAGTACACCTAATCACTCTCCTCTAGTTAGTCGTTACCATTGACTGTTATCACTTGACAGTAAGACGTGTGATTTAGTCGGGATTCAATGCCAAATCCATCCTCACACTTGCTCTTTCAATACCACGACTATCGAGAAACGTGCGTCAGAAGTGTTCTCAATGATCATTACTGACGTGTACATTGAAAACGGAGAGATAATCAACATCAAATTATTATTTATCACTGAAGGGAAGTGATGTGTAACGGTGATGGTGAAAGTGGTCTTGGACGCATAATCAGCTTCCTTTCAGAAATACGATCAAGGAATAGTCTTGCATTATGCCAGTATGATAAAACAAGAATATTCATCATTGTATAGAACAGAATAATTTGAATATATTACAATGAGAAATACACAGGCATTTTTACACATACTCACCTTTGTTGATGGCGAAAAATACCAGAGGCGTTATCACAGATATGTGACTGTACATTGAGCTGAACATATTCTCTCCTTCCTTCCTTTGTTTGTTTTTTCTGGCTACACCTTCCAACTTTTATACTGTTCCTCGTGATCGGTAAAACTGTTGTAATCATTTGTTGGTTGATAAAATTTGTCGTCCTTATTTTCTTTTTCATTAGTTAAAATAGTTCAGTGTTTTGATTAGCTGTCGATGGTTGACTGAGTAAGTGCGTGAGTGAGTGAGTGGGTGGTTAGGCGAATTTTCATCATCGCCACAATATTCTTATTGTGATGGTATAATGAATATACTCTCCTGTACAACAAGTCAGGTATATTACACAATTCCTTCTTGGTGTTCATGAAACTCAAGAGTAAGTGTAGTGTTTATCCGCCTGGTAAATCAAAGACAAATCGGTGGACAAAATTTTCCCTATCAATGAAATCATCTTCAGAGGCAATACAGTCGTATTTACATTGATCGAAAGCGTATAGTAGTCCATTACTGAGTAATTGGTGTAAAATAATTGATAAAAGTACAGAATGAAAAGTAAGAATAAAAGTTGAAATTTACGTAGTACTCGATGGCACAAAGGAAGGAAGCGCTAGAAATTTGATAAGGTTACAATCGCTGCTGAATAAGAATAACGTTGGTTGAGTGTCCAAAATACAAGTAAGGAGAGAGTGAGTAAACTCACACGAGAAACATGTGAGAGTGACAGTAGTGAATTAATTATCTAAGTGAAAGAAAGCAAAGCAATCATAACAAATACAAAATTTACATGGAACGAAAAATGAAGAGGTTAAGACCATGGTATTGTAGGAGACTGGACAAACTGCTTTTGTATATAGACTTTGGGGAGGCAATCGAGAATTGCCAACGCCTCTGTCATACACAAATGCCGAAACCTGACGCCGTTTGTTCTATTTGACCTCAACTGATAGATAATCTTGAGCGACGAATCTGTAGAAGCAGCGTGGCTTGAGTTCACCAAGTGCTCGAGAATTCAGCTAGTAACTGTATTGCATTGTCTTTTTGCTAACCATGCCGCTAAATCTTTACAGATGCGTTTGGAATGTGTGCACTTTGTGTAGCCAATTAATCTGGCTCGACAGGAACAAAAATTGAATTGAAGGAAGTTTATCCATCACACATCCGTGGATCATTTGTCGGCTGTAGAAATTGATATGTAGCTCAGCTGAAAAGGAGGATTCCCTAAACGATACGCATGAGCGGTTCTTCAATATATTAGCTTAGGCATTACCTTCAAATTCAGTGTTCGTGAATAACAGCTTGTTTGGTAGTATCTGGGTTCTTTAGGGTTTTTGCTTTATCTTCGTTTTTTCTCGGTGGATGTTGGAGGATATGCATTTTCCTTTAGGAATCGTCAGAGTCTCTCCAGGTCAATATCGACTCTATCACTGGTACATATCCATTAGGGGTGAATCAGAGTCGGTTACCTTCTTAAAGGCACCTTAATGTTTTTTAATTTTATTTATTTTTTGATTACAGCTTGATTCCACACTGTATTTTTAGTACAAGTATGAAAATTTCAGCATGGATATCGGTAGCCCAAATTTTGTAGGCCTACCATAGTTATCAGGTGTGAGTCGGCAGGGGATCGAATCTCAAACCATGTGCATGGTCAGTGAGAGTCCTAACCACTGTGCCATCGACTCACACTGCGGATTCACGTACTGAACATTCCGTATTGGTTGACTATGCACTGATACTTGAAGAGGACCGACATTCCATCATTTAGATCTCCTAATCACTTATTTCAGATTTCAATTTTGTAAACAAGTGATTCACAAATATTTGTGAAAATGACAGTCCAGTGCCAAATTGTCATCATCAAAAATGATGCACGCGAATATTCACCACATCAAAATATCTTGCAAAATCTGAAGCTGTTTTAGAAACCTCCGATAACGAAGTGTAATAGATATTCGCTTGGATTACATTGTAAACCTGCCTTACTCGTTGTACAGTGAGTGTGACTTAACCTGTTTCACATCGTTTTCGGAGGTGGATCGATATACCGCTCAACATTCAACAAGTACAAATTTTGTCGAAGGATTCAAGTAGGATTGAGAATATCGTGCTCACATCAGTGTTCATTCAGACATATAACATGAAAGACCTGGATTAATGGGATATTCGAGCAACGCAACACCAGCTAGAGGCCATTCTGTGTTAATCTATGAAACACTAGACGCCTATGCTTGACAGACTCATGGGTGGGTCGTGAGGAAAGCGACTAACAACTGGCATGACTGATCGACTACTGGAACATTTTTGAGATACGCAGAAATCAACAAATGCTTTCTCTTACCAGTGATTTACCTCAGGAATCCAGAGATTGTCATGGATGTTTCCAGCTAATCATAAATGTCCAAATGTTGGGCAAACAGACATCACATAACAAGTCTTTGTAAGCAGCACAAGATGGATGATGTTTGCTTTGAATTTACTATGGTGACTGGTACCTCTCAACTTATTACCTGGTGTATGCTTTGATTACTTCATTGGACTTGTCTTATTTATTTTGAATACAAGTATAAGTCGTTTTGCTAGTAAAGCAACTCTTATGTTCACATTCAACTCATTTAAGCATCATCAGGATTAGTATCAACCCAACTTATTGTTACGATGATGATCTTTCGTCCGACAGCTGAAGGTATCTCAAGATAAGCCATCAACCAGCTCACTTGAGACTGCAGCCAACGGAACTCCTAACTTCACTTACTCGCACCCTATCATACTTCTTTCTTCATCTTATACTTCCCCCAGTGTTTTATTGAGTGTATAACGCTGTGTTGGACTTATCGCTTTTTTATTGTCATTTCACCGCACAGAACATATGGATTCATTCATTCTTGCAAATTTAAACGAGGCTTGAATTGTGGATGAATTTGTACATGATATGAAGCTATTGAAGGGTGTTTTGTGATCGAAAGGCTAAGGGAGTGAACTGCTTCATTTTTCAAAGGGATTTATGTTCCTACACATGGAGGATGATATTGTGAGACAGTATTCTGTCTCATAATAGCCAGTCATGATCGAGGTTATTTTGTCAGTGGCTCGACATTTATCTACATATCCATACGCATAACGAACTGCTGAGTGAAAGTCTCCAATCAGTCTCTCCTCATTCCTCATGGAGTGACATTCACGCGTTCAACTAGTTCAGAAATTACAGAAGATGAACACTTGTATTCACTACTCAGTGTCATTGGTAATTATCTCACCAAATTCGGTGAAGTGTATTCGAGGACAGTGCATGAGAAATTGTGAGTGATTCTGTAACTGTGTGATGAAACAGTATTCTCACTGGAAGCACTTCATGTGAATAGCCACGTCAGTGCCTCAAATCCTACTAACTTATCTGACATCCATCTCCTCCTCTGATATTTCTACGCAATTCAGTGTGATCCTTCACTTCTCTACTCTGTTTAAACAACGTGATGCTATCTGTGTTAAAGAGTATAGAAGTGAAATGAAGTTAATGAGTATGTTTCTAAGATTTCTGACCATCTAGAAAAAACACAGGAATTTGACCCCATTAATAAGGAGTACATTTATTCCCTCAGTATACTTCAGGTTACACAATTATTTGAAGAAAACAAAAAGTGGTACGATGGTGAAACAGTCTACAAGAATTACTCTCTCATGCGTATACTGGTGATCATTGATTACAAGTAGTCTTGAGCTGGTGGTCTAATTACTCAAAACGCTATCGTCGTACGATTGAACATACCACCTTCTTGAAGATAACATTGTTGTGATTTAAGCTTACAGAAATGTAACAGGTCTTTTACTTACTTAATCATTTGTATACTGAATATTTTAGAAGCTTACATTACACAATTCAATCTATCCGGATTTAGTAGAGTAGTAGTACTTTCAGTAGTGTTAGTGGTAATAATGATTGTCGCTGTTGTCGTGACAAACACCCACACCGATATGACTGAACATTAATGCTGACCTTGTCTTCCTTGTCTTCTTTTCAGGAGAGATAATTGATGACCACGTTGGGAGTTCAGTCAGTCGACTCCATAATGAGATATGCAGTGAAGACTTTGTTTCGGGAGGCAGTGAAAACTTCATAAACTATGCCATACAGCTTAGAGAATATGGCCGTCAATAATTATTCGCGATCCACCTCCTCAACTATATATCTGTGATTCTCATTCTTTCTTTGATATCTCAACTCACTTTGTATCTCTACTCTTCCTTTCTCCTACGTTATAATTTTACATCACTGTCGCAAGGCTTGCATATCACCTATTGATTCGTGTTTCATCCCTGATTTTCATTGGAATCTAAGTCAAACTGTATAGTGATCAATGAATATAACTGGAAAATGTTAACCAATGAGCGACTAAGATGAATTTCAGCCCATCGCCCATTCCCTGAGATGTACACTTAGTCCCTGTGAATGCTCATTGTATTGCTTTTTTGACCATCTACTTACTGTAGCTTGTTTGTCAGTCAAGATTTTTTTGGTATTTTGTGAAGTGAGTAGCTTTATTCACATGACTCGAATATAATAGTCAAATTGATTTCCAACAGAGATAGTGGAAATCTGGAGAGGGCAGAAGATGTTGCATATTGACCGGATCGTAATTATGCACAGAACAAACACAAACTGCTTTCGTGTCAAATTTGGTTGTTGTTCGTCACTCAATCACAACTTTATCATTCGAATATTTTGCTTATGCAGACTGGTCAGATGAATTCGGTGTTCTCAGTCTGAGTCATTTGTATACCACCTATCTGCGTTAACATATTCACACTTGACATGATAGTGTTTATGCTGCAGCACTCTAATTCATCAGTTAGGAAGCTTCCCAGTTGGTAACGTTATCAATGAAATGATCTAAATTAACTATAACATCTCCGTAGACTTCTGATAAATCACTTCCATGTTACATCTTTTGCAACATAGAGAGGCCTCAGTTCAACAGACTTGCTTGTGCTGCTAACCAAATTATTCGAGGCTTTATTCTCCAGCATCTGAAACAAGCTTCAAAGTGCACGTTTGGGGATCAGGTCCATACTCAAATATGTGATTGTCAAATTTCTAGGATCATTATTCGTAAAATA